AATACCATCGAGACGAGGATTTAGTACTGGTTCTGATTGATATCTTCTCAACATATCCAGTGATTCTTGACTTCTGAAAAAAATTGAAACAAAATGCATTTTTATAAAAAGAAACTATTCAATATGACTGGAACATACTCTAATTTTCCTTCTTTTGCCCATTTTCGTGCGATAAAGTTTTTTAAATGACATTTCACTTCAGCACTTGCGTTTGCACCTGAATAAATATTAATTAATAACTTATTATTAAATTTTTGTGCGATCCAAAAGAAAAGAAGGATAGATGAACTGTTATAGCCTTAGTCAGGATGCAAATTTTACATAAAATATTCAGATTATTTCGTCCATTGTTTAACCTATATAGTTACATTTCAAAAGTAGTGGTAACAAAAATAGATTCTAAAACAATTGTCTATAAGTAGATAAACTATCATTAATTGAATGCAAGAGATATCTGTTGTACTTATTAAGGTCAAAATAGTATTCAGATCAGGAACTTATTATTGAGAAGATAAATCAATCTTACCGGATAATACTATTATCACGTGCCAGTATGCGTCTTATAATAGTAAAACATGAAGACATATACTGGCACGTGTAAAACGTGATAGAAACGTCTTCCAGCCATCAGTTAGTTAATATAACTAACTGGTAGCTGGACGACGTTTCTTTCTCTATCATCACGTTTTACACGTGCTAGTATGCGTGAATAGTTAGTTATTCACGCACAATTTTTGCTACAAGTTAAATACTTCTCACTGATACAAAATCTATCTTAAATGTTTACACAAAAAGTACCATTATTTTTTTAAGAACCGCTTATATGAAAAAATTATCACTATTTTTATTTCTGTGAAACTTCTATGTAGACTCAGAATTACTTTGCTGAGTTTTGTCTTTGCTTTGTACTCGAGCTTTTTGTTCTTCTAAGAGACGACGCTCTTCTATTTCCATTAAATCATGTTTTTGAGTTGAATAGGATGGACATTGAAACTAAAAAACAAACAAATATTATTCTAACTTATGACCAAACTACCGTCTTATTCATGATAAAAGCAGAGATAATGGTAGAAGATATCTGAGCGAAAATTTGTTTTGAGTGCTTTCGAGAGAGTTCTGATCTCCACCATAGATCACACCGTCCTTTTTAATATGGGAGGTAAGCGAGCTCATAATTTTTGGTCTTTTAGAAGTGATATCAGGTTTAGAAGCGTCGGTACTATTATACGATGACCTATGGAAATCTCAAATACGAAGAAAATAGGTAATCGAATACCCTGGGTCTCGTAGTGATGTTTTCTTAGAAGTTAAGGGTTAAAAAACCTAACGTACATCTATTTTTTTCGAAAACATGCCGATTTAGTAGGCTAACTTTATTGAATATTGAAAAATTTCTATTTCTATCAAAATCAATTCGAACAAGCTCAACACTTCATACCACACTTGATTTGAGTTGCTCTACATTGGAACAGTGTAGAACATTGAAAGAAATTGTTTTCATATAGGATTCCTAATCACTCATTTAGGCAACTTTGTAGTACTCAGTTCGACTTTCCCCTTCTTTTATGTCTTGTAAATGTACAAGGTACGACTGCGATCGTATTCCGAAATTTAGAACTTATATGAGGCGATTTTGAAAA